TTTCATCTTGATGGTTGTGGACCATCCATGCATGAGTTGTTGACCTCTTGGTGAAGTTAGTAGACTAGATTTTGGTTTTGGGTTTCTTGGAGCCATGAAAAGGCATCAAGTTGATGACTTTATTGATTAAGACACCCATTAGAATTAGATCTAAGTCTTGGATGTAAAGTCTTAAAATTAAGAACTTTCAAGTGAGTCCTTGGTCATTTTGTTATGTTAGGAAGCTTAAGTTTGGTGGTAGGCTCTATTAAGTCATGCTAGGTCATAAAGTCAGGAACTTTATGACTCTAGACGTCCATTAGGCTTGAAATTGTAGATTTGGACATTTGGTCTTAAAGGAATAAGACCTAAAACTTGCAGTTTTGGGTTTCAGCACCGTACGTTGGGCGTACTAGGGTAGTACGTGGGGCATATGCACAAAGTTCCATAATGGGCTATTTTTGGGCCTTGGGTTTTTTGGGATTTGGGCCATGAGTTGGTGGGTCAGATGTGGGAAGGGTAAAATAGTCTTTTACCCATTGATATGATAGGGTATGAATTGGACCTTGGACTTTGGGAAATTTCCTTAATTATTGATTAGGGATAATTTTAGATGTGTTCAGTATGAGGATCCCGGTAGCAGCAGCGTGTGTGGTTCGGTTATCTCTAGACTGAGGTGAGTTTGCTCACTATACTATAGGATACTAGGGATTGTATGTGATTGTAGTCTTTGTGCCTGATGTATGCATGTATGCCTGTGTGCATGTTTTCTATATGTATGTGGGGGTGAAATACACCTTGGGGTGAAATAGACCCGTACGGTTGAAAAATATCAATTGAGTTGAAATAGACTCGGGGGTGAAATAGAATCGGAGGTGAAATAGACCCGGTACTGATGGGTTTTGAGCATTCTAACACTCCTATGGTGTACATGCAACCCTATAAACCTTGGATCTATGTTTTCTCTATTATACATGCAAATATTCAATATATATTCCAAGGTTTCATCCTAACTAGCACAATATGAAGTATATACAATACAAGAATCTAGTAGAATGACATACCTTTTGATGGAGCTTAAAGTCTTGAACCTTTAAGAGCTTAGTGCCCCAAGTGTTGCACCTCAAATGGTTCACACAACACCAAAAACCCTTGGAATAACTTGAGAAGAAGGTTACTTAGGTTCGCTCTTATGAAATCGGTTTTGCCCTATTGTGTACTATACACTAGATCATTTCATGAACCGTAGACCTCTTTATATAGTGTGGAAGATTAGGGTTACATTCATGTAAACCCTAATACCCATGACCTTTCATTTCCATAGGATCCATGGGTTACCCACACACGCTCCACTAACGACTTTGAGAATGCAAATATCACAATTGCTATCTACTTAAAATCTACTTAGTGAAAGTGTTTCCTCACCATCATTTTCATGAATCGGAGAGAAACCTTATGCCACTTAGATTTTATGGTTTTATGTGTTTCTATCCATGTGAATTTGTCAAAACCATAATCATAAGACAAGTTTAGTGACAAATCCAAACTCATATGGATTGAACTTGTGCAATCTTAACTTCTTGCCACTTGGCAGCACAAGGCCTACCATTGCTTCCAGGTTGTTATGCAAACAATTGCGAACTTGTAGAACTCAGATGCATAGTCAACTTTAACTGGAATGGGCACAGAAATAAGAATATGTCAACATGATAGGTTACAAACCTCAAGTCGTGCGCTAGTGATAAACTACAAGTTTTATTCTTGGTTAGTTCTTGAAACTCTTTCAGGATCTTTTAGACTCCCACCGTCCTCTTGACATATAACACTCTCTTGCCAAGAACCATTCCTTGACAAACAAATATTCAAGAGAGAGTGCAGATTCTTATCAAGACAAACACTTCACACAATTGGCCTTAGTTGGTCTTTGTTTTATCCAAAACATCACAACTTACCAATTTCAAATGTACAAGAGTAGAAAACATTTTACTCTTACATTTGACAAGTGTTATAAACCTTCTATAAGATGTGTCACTCAAGTTACAATCTTGGAGTATGACTCTAAGAATTGTTTTGGAACGAAGTATGACTCATCTTCTTGATTTAACCACTTCAACAATTCATGACTCCTCTTCTTATCCATAAGAATTCACTAAGATGTCCTTAGAGGATGAATTGTGATATGGTTTCATAATCATTAAGATGATCGTAAAACATGATACTAAAGTACTCTCCCATCTTTTCAGATTCGAGTAACTTTTATCTTTCTGCCTAATTTGATTCTTCTTATTCGTTCTGCCATACATTGAAACTTTTCCAATGTTTCAGAATTATACTTAAACTTGTAAGTATAACCATATTTACAAAACTTTAGTAAATCATGACGAATAGTCTTATCGATCTTTCGTGGTGGACTTTGACCAGTGCACAAGAATGTGTATTCGATCCCTTAGTCCTTCACTTGACTCGCATATAAATGTGAACAAGGAATTAGTCTTAATTTTCCAAAGATGAAAATTTTCATTCATCATACAATACAACTTGCATGATTCCAAGTTTCGGTCCAATTGAAACTTGGGTGATGCGAATCTTTCCTTATTTGGTAAATTTAGACACTACCACAAATGAAAGAATCAAATTCATATTTCCATTATTGCTAGAAACATGCAAACATTAATTTTTCATAAATGCCATTGCAAGGAGATATAAAACAAAAATTTTATTTATTTATAAAATGTGGAAAAAACTTTTTCCTTACAATGCAACTTTAAATGAAAACTTTGTTATTACATATTTCCTAGCAATCTATCATAACCCCTTGGGTAGATGAATTAGATAATGTGTGATGAAATAAAAATTGATGAGAGGTCTCGATGTTTAAAATGATCTAGTCATCTAGCAGAGTATAGACATAGTTATTTGTTATTAATCCGGGAGTATGGATTAGGACATAGTTAATTGTCCCTAGTCCGAGAGTATGGAATGGGCACAGTTATTGATCCGGGAGTATGGATCAGACGTACCAGATCCGGGAGTATGGATCAGGTAAAGAGGTTAGTTTTAGACCCGGAAGTATGGATTAGGTATTTTTAAACTAAGTGTTCACTAGGTGTTTTTGAACTAGGTGTTTTTGAACTAGGTGTTCATTAAGTATTTTTGAACTAAGTGTTCACCAGATGTTTTGAATTACGTGGTCACCAGTTGTAATTTAAGAACCCTGGCAGCTATGGACTTAGTGCCTTATATATGTACGTTGGTAGCTATGGATTTAGTACCGTATAGATGAACATTGGTAGCTATGGACTTAGTACCTTGGCAGCTATGGATTTAGTGCTTGTTGTATAAACCTCGGGCAGCGATGGACTTCGTGCCTATTCCTTAGGTCAATCCTTAGGAATGAAGGATAGATGATTCTTAGGGTAGATCCTTAAGATTAAAGAAGATAATGGGGATGGGTAATTGGGTTGATTGTTTGATGATTAAATATAATAATTATATTATTATGGGTTGAAAACCCTATGTACTCACCAGGTTTCCCAACCTGACCCACTCAAGCTTATTTGAATCACAGGTGCCAATACGAAGTTACATTACACTAAGAGATTAAAGAGGTGTAGATCACTAGTGTAAATGAATGTAAGTTCTGTTTATGCTTATGTTTCTGTATTGACAATGACATCCCAAATGTTTTAAAATGAATAAAAAAATACATTTCTTCGGAAATGCTTTGATAACTTATTTATCATGTTTTACTTGGAACAAATTCCGCAAAATTTTTATTAAAATAAGTACTCTAATTTTTATAAAGCATAAACAAAATCGGTCTTTTCTGGCCGTGAAAATTGGGAATGTCACAATATATCATATTCACACAAATTCACAATGTGAATCTCTTAAAAAAATTTGCAAGTTGATTAATACTTTTGTTTGTTTTCACTATGCACAAAATAATTGAAAAAATTCATCATTTGTATGTGTACATTAGTTGGTGAACCTCAAACTTTTTTGGTATGAAATGAATAAATTCACAATGTGAATCTTTGATGTAACTCATAGCCTCACAGATTCACAATGTGAATCTCTTAAAAAAAATTTGCAAGTTGATTACCATTTTCGCTTGTTTTCACTATGCACACAATACGTGAAAAGATTCACCATGTGTATGTGTGCATCACTTGGTGAACCTCTTTTGGTATGAAATGCATAAATTCACAATGTGAATCTTCGATGTATATCTCTTATTCACACAGATTCACAATATGAATCTCTTAAAAAAAATTTCAAGTTGATTAACACTTTTGTTTGTTTTCACTATGCACAAAATAAGTGAAAAAATTCACCATGTGTATGTGTACATCACTTGGTGAACCTCAAACTATTTTGGTATGAAATGCAGAGATTCACAATGTGAATCTTCGATGTATATCTCACATTCACACAAATTCACAATGTCAATCTCTTAAAAAAAATTTGCAAGTTGATTACCACTTTCGCTTGTTTTCACTATGCACACAATACGTGAAAAGATTCACCATGTGTATGTGTACATCACTTGGTGAACCTCTTTTGGTATGAAATGCATAAATTCACAATGTGAATCTTCGATGTAAATCTCACATTCACACAGATTCACAATGTGAATCTCTCAAAAAAAATTGCATGTTGATGAACACTTTTGTTTGTTTTCACTATGCAAAAAATAAGTAAAAAGATTCACCATGTGTACGTGTACATACATCACTTGGTGAACCTCAAACTGTTTTGGTATGAAATGCATAAATTCACAATGTGAATCTTCGATGTAACTCATAGCCTCACAGATTCACAATGTGAATTTCTAAAAAAATTTTGCAATTTGATCATCACATGTTGAATTTTATATTTTTCGACATGTATTTCATAGTATTACTTATATTTTTGACATTGACATTAAAAATTTCACATTGTGTAGTTGAAGGTTCAAAAAAAATACCAAAAACACCGCAAGGAGAACCGTGGTGGAAATTGTTAATAAATTAAGAAAAATGAAGATGAAAAGACACGTGATGAAAACGTTGAAAAAGAAAAAAACTTTAGAAGGTGATAAGATTCAAAAAAAGCAAACAAAAAAATTGATGAAGCAAGATGAAACTGTTTTGAAGAGAATTGAAAAGAAAACAACACAAGGTTAGTATTTATAAAATTATAATTTACTTTAATATATAAAATCAGTTATCATTAATTTTTTTAAATGAACAGAAAGAAGACAGAGTCCAAGATTTCAAAAAACAAAAACGAAAAAGTCGATGAAGCAAGACAAATCTGTTTTCAAGCACCTGAAAAGAAAACAACTCAAGGTTAGTTTTTATAAAATTATAATTGAATTTGATATTAGAAAATTAATTCTCATTAATTTTGTTAAAACATAAACATAAATCAGACAGATTCCAAGACTTAAAATGATTGAATACAAAAAATCTTTGACTCCTATTAAAGTTGATGATAGTCTTGTAAATAAAGAATCTTATGAAAAAGCAACAGGTTTTTTTATTACTATTCACATGTTTAATTTACAAAGTTATAAACAAATTCACATGTTTATTTTATGTATTAAATTATATTTTGCAAAACAAATTCACATGTGAATTTGTTGTATTGTTAGTTATTTTATAGTATTTATGTTATAGTATGAGAAGCTTACGAAAATTATTGACTAACAGGAAAAAAAAACAAATGAAGCAGAGATAAAAATTAAGATTCTCAAGACAAAGACTCTGAAAGTAGTCAAAGAAAAAAAGGCAAAAGTGCCAATAAATCCAAATGACAGAGTCTCTTTGAGAACAAGAATGAGCCCAAAGAAGTTTTATGATATCGTTAAATCTTTAAACAAAGAACAGAAAAAAAAAACTGTTAGAGAAATGAGATTGGGATCTTTGCTGAGAATTGCAACCAATGGAATTTCTGGGAAATTGGCACGTTTTATTGTGAATTCATTCAATCCATCAGATATGAAAATGCATCTACCTAATGCAAAGATAGACGTAACACCAACTCTTGTTCACGATTTGCTTAGAATTCCTCTAGGTGGAAAAGATATATATAACACTGACCAATATGAAGGAAAAGAATTAATGGATTGGAAGCAACAATATAATTTCAAGGCTATGAGACCATCAGATCTTGAAGAGAGAATTAAAGAATCATCAGATTCAGGGATTATATTCAGAACAAACTTTCTATTACTATTTGTTAATACCATCTGTGAACAGAATAAGCCTGGAACTTGTAAAACAACAGTATTGCCACATTTGTTAGGCAAAACACCTATGAGAGAAATTGATTGGTGTGGTTTTATAACCAATTGCTTGAAAATGTCAAAGACTACGTGGGATGAAACCGATAGAGGAAACTACTATTGTGGGCCACTTCTTGTATTATTGGTAAGGAAAATTCTTATAATTAACACTTTTATTTATATTATTATAAGAAAACTAATTAATCATAATTTTGTTTACATAAACAGCTAGCTTATTTGGAGTTTATGAGAAATGATAAGAATGAAAAAAGACAAATACATGCACTACATTTTTGGGATTATGACATGATGTTGAAAAGGGAAAAAGTTGACTTAAAGAGTGGTGACTTTGGAACTTTGGAATGGAATGATGATGTTATAGAGAATAATGAAGAATCCGACACCGATGAAAATGAAGATATGAAACTCGATGTAAGTTAATAATCTATATAATTAAAAAAAAATTGTGAAGTTGTATTACAGATATATGTTATAAAATTGTAGTTAAGATGAAATTCATATAATGATTCACATTGTGAATATAAAAGTGTATTTTATTACTTTTTCTATAATAAATTCACGTAGTGAATATGTCATTTATTAAAATGCATTAAAAGTGTGATACCTCATCAATGCATTCATATTGTGAAACTGTAATTTATTATAAAAAAAAGTTTAAAAAATTCATTGTTATTGACATTTTTTGTTTCATTTTGCAGGAATTGGTATTCAAAGCGAAAAAGAATTATAAAAAACTAGTGAATGATAAAATAGAAGTCAAAATGAAGATGAAACAAATGTGATGAATGAAGATGATGCAAAAAGTGACAAGAATGAAGATGAAGAAAAAAGCGATGAGAATTTGAATGAACATGAAATAAAGAATCAACCAATCATGGTAACACCAGAAAATTTGTACAATGATCCAATAGTGCATGAGATTGCTCATTCTATTCAATGTATTTTAAATTTTGATGATTATGATGATTTTGACAATGTAAAAAGTTTTAGAGAACAAAAAAATAAAAAAAACAATAATAGATGATAAAAAAAGAAAAAATACTAAAAAATCATCAATGCCTAGTTTTTCACTTGGACTTGGTCTTGGTCTAACACAAGAGTTTCAGGAAGGAGATGAAAGCAGTGAAGATGAACACGAGAAGAAAGAAAGAAAAGATGAAAAACTTGATGAAGAAGAAAGTTATGATTAAGAAGAAACAGAATGTGACAATAATATCTTGGGAATTGAAGATGATCAAGAGGGAAAAAGAGAAGTAGCAAAAAGATTAAAAAAACCATCACTGAAGGTATCTTCTCCTTATAATCAAAAAGAGGTTTGTGCATCGAAATTTGTAGATCCAGATGAAGTAAAAGTATCAGATAGAATTTTTTCCAAAATTGGTAATAGCAGGTAATAATTCATGTTAACTTTTCTTTAAATACAATAGTATATAAATACAAATATAAATTAATTTTCTATTAACTGTTTTTTTTGTTTTATTTGATTACAAATTAAGTGAGAAGGTATTTCAAACTAAGAGAGGTTATGTGCTTGGAAGAGGAATGATTGAAACCATGCAGGCAGGATTATGGATACATGCACATGTCATTGATGCTTGGACTGATGTTTTGAACTATGAAGAAAAGCTTAAATCAAATTATACAGTGAATCGGTATTTCTTTGATGCATCAATGGTGGTAAGTTAATTAAAAAATATATATCATGATAATGTTGATAATATAATAAATAAAATTTTCAATAGTTCTGAATAAGTAATAAAATTCACACAGTGAATCTTATTATAATTCACAGTGTGAATAATTTTAAATTTAAAATTTACCTTATTGTGAATTTAACAATTTACTCTTTAAAGTTTGATGTATATTTAAATTTTTTTGCAGAGACAGTTCATATTTGACAAAAATATCCCTTTCATTGAAAGATATGATAAATTTGAGTCAAATATCAAAGATGCAATGAAAAAGGACAAAGAACTTCTGACATTTGAAAAAGTTCACTTGGTAATAAATTGTTCTTTTTGTTGAATATATTACATCTTTTAAACAAAGTTTAACAATTTAAAATATTAAACAGGTGTTTTTCCCAATTCATCAAAAAAATCACTTTTACATCATCTGCATAAACTTAGAGGAACCAGCGGTTGATGTCATTGCCAATAGGAATTTAGTTGCAAAGTTTTCTAGAGCTTATCGTGATGCACCTAATGAATTGGTAAGAATAGTAAATTTACATTCTAAAGATAAGTATTAATAGACTAATAATTTGAATAAAATAATAATTATAGAAAATGACAATTTCTTTTTTGCAGAAAATACTTTTTAGTAGGTACTTGATGAGGGTCAATCAAAAATCAACTTTAATTTTGGAGGGTGTTGAACCAGAAAGGGTGAACATGAATTGGCGCACGAGGGATAATCATGTTGACTGTGGAGTTTTTTGCATGCGTCATATGGAGACATATATGGGAGATAAAACAGTAAATTGGACATGTGGGTTGCCAAAAGAATCAAAACACAACAAATGTGTTAAACGATTTACGCATTAAGTATTTGACAAAGATACTATTGAGTGACGCAAACACATACAGGTCAAAAATCATTGCACAAACAGCTAAGTTTGCAAAAAAAGACTAATGAAGAAATACAAGATTTGCTCAACAAAGGATGGGAAAAAAGGGGAGAAAGGATATAGTACTTCAAGGATTGGAAAAAGAAAGTGTAAAACTTAAAACTTAGTTTTCTATTCATAATTGGTATAAGTTTAGATGCACTTTAATTTCTTAAGAACATATACATGCTTGTTATGTTACATTTGATGTTAGTTTCTATATCAAATATAATGAACTTTACTAATACTTAAAAGATGTTTATATTTTCATGTGAATGTCTACATGTATGTTATACAATTACATGTTTTATTAAAGATATGTTATTGGTGTGTGGGTTGGGGGGGGTGAGTATATTTCTACTTTGAATAAAGAATTGAAAGTACATTGTCATTTCATAATTTACTTCATTCTTTTGGTCTAAATGATTAAATGTTAATGTAATAACAATACATAGATGTAGAAAATTACATTGTTTATATGTACATAACCTTGTGAAAATTTTATATGTGAGATTCACAATGTGAATTACAGTACATATTATAACATGTATATTTTATATGTGAGGTTCACAATGTGAATTACGGTACATATAGATCATTAGAACAATTAATAGTTGAGATTCACAATGTGAATTAAATTACATTAAGACAATCTTTAACATGAAAATTTTATATATGAGATTAACAATGATAATTAATATACATAAATTAAATCATTAGCATGAAAATTTATTAGAAAAAATTCAAAAAACTAACAATAAAAATAATCTTTAACCAAAAAAAATAATTCGAAAAAAATATATTCTATTATTAGAAATAAAGTCTAAAACAATGAATATCAAAATTAACATGAATATTTCAACATTTCTATCCATTGAATGATCATTACAAAAATCAAATCTTATTTTAGTAGTCTTAAAAAAAATTAGAAACAATCAGCCTTCTGTAACCTCAGATTCTAAATCAGACTTCTTTAACCTCAAAATGCAACTCCTAGCATTGTGATTTGGTTTATGACATAAACTGCACAACCTAGAACCCTTTTTAGATGTCTCAATCACTTTCTCTCTAGTGCTCTTGATTCTTTTACCACTGGCCCATCCCTTGTTTCTGATCCCCTGTGGATTATGAATGTTGATAACATCAGGTACTATGCAGCTCCAATAATTTTTTCAATGTGAACTGATCTACTCGAAGATGCCCTTGATGAGGTACATAAAGGAATACCACTATCAACCTCCTGAAGTTGCTTTATATATTTAGCCAACTCATCCTCATTATTTGCTATCTTGTTAATGGACAAACGAAGAATAACATACGCATCTTGAATCAAACATTCATTTTTACTGCCTTTAAGAGGATACGAGTACTTTTTTCTCAACAATCCATCAGCTATGATATCTTTTCCCCATCTCCTCAAAATGAAATTTGATGGAATTTCATCATACTCTTTCATATTTAATATGAAAAACATATGACGACATAACAATCCTTCCTGGACAAAAACATGCAGCTACAACTGATGCTAATGCTATCACCCATTCTACTAAATACAACCTACAAATTATCATTAATAAACAAATTAATATGTGAATAAAAAATTTTATCTCATACCATTCGATAAAAATTATACAAATTAACATTGATTCACATTATTAATCAACAGGACATTAGAAATCATAATACTATAATATAAATATGTACTTCAAATCAAATTCACAAAAAAAAATACTATACCATACTAATCTCTAATGAAAAGTACAAACCAATTTATAACTCTATAGAATTCACACTGTGAATTGGCAAAACATCCTACATTCACAGTGTGAATTTTAAACTACATTTTATATTTAATAAACTCTATTAGGACAAAGAGACATACCTTGTAACGAGTATTAGGACAATGAGAAGGAAGACTATTTCGATAAAAATCATCAGAATCTTCATCCTCATTCACATTTTATCAATCAACTTTTTTTTTCTCCTTATCTCTCAAAAATAAACTTCACTTTCATCTTCAATAACTACAGATTCTTGAACACAATAAAACACGGTTTGTATAACTCTTTCTGAATGTCCAAGAAATATTATGTGTATAAATTTCCGATGCATGCTTTTCAATAGCCAAAGGAGTCCTTAGCTTGGGGGTAGTAGTTGTGGACTGATAATCTAATAAAGATTGATGATGTCTTTTCTTCTTCTCCATTGCACTATCAAATGACATCATGAACTTCACCAAATTTGATTTATGATGCAAAAAATGTGAGAAAGCATAATTCAGACTCTCTGATCTTGAAGTAGTTCGCATCAAACCAGAAAGTTCAAGATCTCTCATAAAAGTCGGAATCCATAAATCCCTTATTTTAAAAACACTCTTTAACCAATCATTTTCTTTTAGATGAAACTTATCTAACATTGTTGACCAGGAACTTTCAAAATCTTGTGGAGAACATTGAAGATTCCATATAATATCAAAAATGTCTTTTGGAAGTCCGGATGGTTATAAACATCGATAGGAATCTAAAAAAAAGAAACACATAAGAATCATTACATAAGTTGAATATTTGATGTAATTCATAGTAACATAACATTTGTTCACATTATGAATTCACAGTGTGATTTATGATTTAGATTTGTTTCTTTCATCATATGCAAATTTACATTGTGAATTCACAGTGTGCTTTATGATCTATATGGTTATAAACATATAAAGGAATCAAGAAACAAAGAATATATCTTTTCCTCAAGTTTTTGAGTGATGTGCCACATGCATAGTCTATGCTTGGATTCAGGAAAAACAAAATTAACAGCTTTCTTCATTGATGAATCCTGATCTGTTACAATCATCATGGGTGGCTTGACAAATGCTTTACGAAACTCTTCAAGCAACCACACATATGCATCTGCTGTCTCACGAGCTAGTAAACCAACACCAAAAGTAACACAACGCGTGGGTAGTCAACTCCAGTAAAAAGAACAAATACCATAGAATACCTGAATTTTTTTTTTATAAGTATTATTAAAAAGAACAAATACCATAAAAAGAACAAATAAGGATTAGGAATTACTTGTTTGTTTGATAAGTAGCATCAAAAGATAGTACATCTCCAAATTCCTTATAGTTGGCTTTCGAAGTATCATCAGCCCAAAAAAGTCCAGTAAGATGATCATCAACATCTTTTTGGACCTCAAATGAAAAATTAGAGAAACACAATTTTCTGTTTGTCAATATATCCACAACTATTTGGGAATCTTTGACACCAATTTTAGAATTCAAATCTCTATGAAAATTTTTGAAGTCAACTGCAGTCCCTCCCCTAGAATCAAAGCCACCCTCCATACTACTCACCAAGTTTTAAGCTTTTGAAGCACCAATGTTACAAGTACCAACCTTATGTATAAAGGATTCATCAAGAAAATCCATTGTCCTATTAATCCTTAATAAGTGCAACTGATCTTGAGCAACAAGTTCATGGTTGTGATCTTTAACAAACACATAAATGTAGAACATTAAAGAACATCGGAGATTCTTGAACTTTGAACAACAGGGCATCCGTTCTTCTTAGAAGAAGTTCTCCTCTCTTTCTTAACATCTGAAAATTTCACATTAATATTTTCATATTGAATGACTCCGTGAAACCAGATCTACTACATGTGGAATATCTAATACGAATTGTGCCATCATTGTATCTTTTTTGACTTGACATATTCACATCAAAACCAGATTCTTGACCATAAGTCTTGTAAAAGTCAAGACCAATGTCCAACGAATCAAACAACAAACCTTTGAAAGGCTCTTATGTATCAACTTATCATAACGAACAAGCTCAAAAGACTCAGTATTGTAGAGCTCAAAATCAAACTATAACGAGAATTACGGCTATTTGAATTATAATATTCATACTTGAAGATGATTGATCATGAACTGCAAAAGCAAAAAAAAAAACATCTATTTTATTACATTACATAGAAATGTGAAATTTATATTAAGAAAAAAAACTTACGTGATTGTTCATTAATAGTTGAATGCAATCTGAACAAGAATTACTGTTATTTGAATGATCAATATTCATACTTGAAGATGATTGATCATGAACTGCAAAAGAAAAAAAAACATCTATTTTATTACATTACATAGAAAATGTGAATTTTATATTAAGAAAAAAAACTTACGTGATTGTTCATTAATAGTTGAATGCAAATCTGAACAAAAATTCAGAGAACTCATAATGAATCGGTAACCTGGAGTTTATATAGAGATTAGAATTGATAATGATACAAAAAAGGAAACAAATAAACAAGATAATCACAAAAACTTTAAAATATATGCACAAGATAAGATAAGATCTCAAAATCACTAAAAGTTTGGAAAAAAAGTTAATGTCAGAAGATGCACAAGATAGAATTGATTATCTAAATGTCGAATATGCATTACAGATGAATGATTACAAAAACGATCGAAGGAAAAACAGTAACATCAAACGGATATTCAACATACGACATAAAATTAGCAAATTAACAATAAAAACATAACTATTTGAAGATTACACGGTAAAATCAAGAGATTTGACAATCAACGGTTACAATAAGAATAAAAATAAGTTGATAAACAATGCTCGGAAGAACAATAATAAAATGAAAATCTATAATTGACCTAATAATCATAAAAAAGATGAATAGATGTTAAAAATACCTAATTATTAGCTGAAATCTGAAGAAACTATTAGTAAATTGGATGAAAAAGTTGAGATTTCGAAGATAGACGAGAATTTTGGATCGATCGGGGTTGAAGATGAAGGACAGTAACAGAAGAAGCTAACGGAGACAAACAGGAATATTATGAAGACACTAAAATTACCAAAATGCCCCTGTGTTTTTTTGGTTAATTAAGGTTAATGACCAAGATTAAAAGAAAATAGATGGTTAAGATGACTTCTTTGTTCCTTGATCCATATTGGTTCTCTATTAAACTTTTCCATAATATATATATATAAGATATAGATATATATATATATATATTAATATATATTATTATATATATAAGAGAGAGAGAGAGAGAGGCAAGTCATTTGAGAACTTATATATTCCCGAGAACCCGAGAACTAAATAAGGACCATCAATCAAAATAATAAAAGGTTGGGATGTTTAATGGCGTTTGGTAAAAATTAAAAAAAATGACGCGGGGGTATACGATTAAACAAATCACTGGGCTTTTAGGGATAAGATACTTTTATCACATCCCCCTGAACCGTTCTCTGAAACCACGATCTTCCTCCTCCCCCATGACGTTTTTCTTTTATGCTCTCACCCAAAATCAACATTTCTCTGGCTCTTTTGATCACCCAAACCCTCTGTTGTTTTCATTTCTCACCGATCCTCTTTTCCCATGCCATAACTGTTGATTTTTCACTCAAAATTCAGATTCTAGCACCGTCGTATGAAATCCATGGCGCCTTCGCCTATCAGCACTCTGTAATCTCTTGATTGCAAGCAGCTAAATCCATGATCAACGTTCCGACCTAGAAATCCCAATGTTGCCTCTTCCATTATCGATTATGAAGTTATTTATCCGATTCTCAACGTTTTCTTATATCCTGCAATCAACAACGATTTTTTGATATCCTGTAATTGTTCAGACACGATAACATCTTTTCCTCAGCACCTCACACCTCATGGCTCCTGTAAGTTTACTACTAGTAAACTGCCAAAGAAAATGAAGATGAAAGGGAATGTGCCCACACGATGCTTACATAGATCTTCCTTCCGTCAATCGTTCGGTCTTTCATGAATCAGGTAATCCATTGAACAATGCATCTTATCCGCTTCTGTTTTCCATATTATAGCGGCATGATGTGTTTTTAAACCTTTCTTCATACGAAAGTTATATAATGACCTGTCACGGAATCGAATGAGGAACTTGGAAAACAGATTACTAATCAAACTTGCCACCTCCACCTCCATCAGAGAAAAAGGAATCAGATGCTATACTTTCATTTTCTTCTATCATAAAAATGAACATCACATGAAATTTGAATTATTAAAATCCTTATTGCTTCCCTGTTTTTTCTAGAAAGTGCGATGTTACTGTTATTGTAATCATAAATTATTCAAAAATGAAGTATCAGATGAGTACCAATGGAAATCTTCGAATTTTGTTAGATTTTGATTCTAATCAAGTCTGTTATTCATCCTTCTCGTTGTTTCATTGACCGTGCACACAACCTGTTGATAAAGTGTCAACAGTTTTACTTCATTTAAGTTGTTGTCCCTAGAAGAGATGTATGATGTAATCCATTGTTTTGGCAGGTGAAACCCCTAAGATTTATGTTACAACCTAGAAGAGATCCTCCAACAGTGGGTGATGATGCATCTCCCTCTTTTTCTTTCTTGCAAACGGCTTTCTCCACTCCTTTCTTTCTTCACTTCATACAGTTGTTGGTGGCATTACATACAGACCATATGTCAGGTAGATATTTTGCATATCTCACATGGTTTACTTTCATTTAGTATTTGAAGAATTACTTTCTAAAAAGAGATTTTGTTTGCTTATCATATTGACATGTTAGCCAAAAATTGGGGGAGATAACTTTTTGTACAATCATTTCAGATGAACAAGTAAAGGGTTATGGTACAAGACTGATGAATCATCTAAAGCAACATGCTCGAGATATGGATGGGCTTACTCATTTTCTCACATATGCAGACAACAATGTTGTTGGTTATTTTAATAAACAGGTTAAGCATCTTTTACATGTTTT